GACGGGTCCCGGGGTCGAATCCAGTCAAGGGCACGTGCCCGTGTTTCAGGCTCCATCCCCCGTCGGGGGCGTGCAGGAGGCGGCCGGTCCAGGACTCTCTCTCTTCATGGATGTTTCTCTCTCTCTGTCCCTGCCTCTGTGAAATTACGGCCGCCTACACACCAAGGGGAAGGCAGCCCTGCCCACCCCGGATATTTCAGAACCCGCCTGTCCATTGCCAAGCAGGCCCTCCCGGCCCCCGGCCCCCGGCCACACCCACCTTTGGCCGTGTCGTACACCCCGAAGTAGGCCGCCCGGTAGATGATGATGCCTTGCACGGAGACGTTGAACCCCGGGTACAAGAACCGGAAGAACGCAGACTAGAAGAGCAGAGACAGACAAAACAAAAGGCAGGAAGGAAAAACAGAGGGAGGTGGCCCCCGCGGCCCCGCCCGAGGCCAGGTTGCCGGCGAAGTACCTCCAGAACTGGGTGTGCTTGTCCACGCCCCCCAGGAACACCTGCTTGTAGCGGGGGTCAGAGTGCGGTCAGGCCCGGCGCCCCCTCCCCGGGCCATCACCCCGCCCCACGGAGACCCCAGCACCAGGCGGTAGCACAGAGGTCAGGACAAGGTCAGGGACAGACCCGGGGTCAGGCAGCCACTGCCAGCGACAGGGCACTGACACAGCACGGCTCAGGGCCAGGGTGAGGCCGCTCCAGTCCAGGGGGTGGGGTGCCCCGGGATCGGACAGGCCACACGTTCGGGCTGTTCCCTTGGAGAGGCGCCAGCAGGCCCCGGCCCTGACCCTCAGGGCGGCTTCCTTCTCGGGGCCTAAACCGTGGTCTCCAAAACCCACCCTGCAGCTCTCCAACGCCAGGACCCCAGAACGAGACTGTATTTGCAAACAGGTGAAGCCCTGGCCGGTGTGGCTCAGTGGATAGAGTGTCAGCCTGCGGACTGAAGGATCCTGGGTTCGAGTCCCGTCAAGGGCACAGGCCCAGGTTGTGGGCTCCATCCCCAGTACGGGGCGTGCAGGAGGCGGCCGGTCCATGATGCTCTCTCATCATTGATGTTTCTCTCTCTCGCCCTCTCCCTTCCTCTCTGAAATCAATTTAAAAAAAGAGAGATTTTTGTTGTCCCAGTGGCTTGGCTCAGAGCAAAGAGCGTCAGCCTGCGGACCGAGGGTCCCGGGTTCGAGTCCGGTCAATGGCACGTATGGGAGGCAACCAATCGATGTTTCTCTCTCATCGACATTTCTCTTTCTAAAGATCAATGAACAAACACCCTCAGGTGAGAATTAAAAACAAGCCAACAAACAAACCACCATCTGTATGTATGTCCTTTGTTCTGAGAGAGGGAGGAAGGGACAGACACATCCATGATGAGAATCACTGACCAGCCGCCTCCCGCACGCCCCCTACTGGCGAGCGAGCCCACAACCCGGGCATGTGCCCTGGGCCGGGAATCGAACCCGGGACCTCCTGGTTCCACTGAGCCACACTGGCTGAGCTGCAAACAGGTTCTTAAAGAGCTGATGACGGTAAAATGGGGTCACTGGGGTGAGCCGTGATCCCATAGGCCTGAGGTCCTTGTAAGAAGAGGTGATGAGGTCCTAGCCGGGGTGCTCAGTGGATAGAGCCTGCAGACTGAAGGGTCCCGGGTTCGAATCCAGTCAAGGGCACGTGTCCGGGTTGCAGGCTCCATCCCCAGTCGGGGGCGTGCAGGAGGCGGCTGGTCCAGGACTCTCTCTCTTCATGGATGTTTCTCTCCCTCTCGATTTCCCTTCCTCTCTGAGCCAATAAAAAAATATTAAAAAATATTAGCAATTGTTGCATTCAGATTAAATGCACATTGTTTTAAAATGGTTTATTCATTTTTGAATTAACATATCAGGTGGGTTGTCATTTAAATACTACCTAGCACCCGATCTGGTTTGGCTCAGTGGATAGAGCGTGGGCCTATTTTTGAAACTCAC